AAGGAAAGGAAAGGAAAGGAAAGGAAAGGAAAGGAAAGGAAAGGAAAGGAAAGGAAAGGAAGATTAATGCGTTGGGCAGGAATGTGATCCAGACAATTTCACCTGATCCTTGGGAAGCAAGGATTAAATGGTGTCCCTTTCTCCAAGACTGCAGAGATTTAGAATATAGAATAACAGAGTTCGAAGGGATCTTGGAGGTCTTCTAGTCCAACCCTCTGCTCAAACAGGAGACGCTATGCTATTTCAGAGAAATGGTTGTCCAGTCTCTTCTTAAAAACCTTCAGGGATGGACAACTTCTGAAAGCAAGCCTTTCTCCTGGTTAATTGTTCTCACTGTCAAGAAATTCCCCTTTAGTTCCAGGTTGCATCTCTCCTTGATTACTTTCCACCCATCGCTTCTTGTCCTGCCTTCTGGTGCTTTGGAGAATAGCTTGACCCCCTCTTCTTCCTTGGGGGGCTGCCCCTCAAATACTGGAAGACTGCTATCATGTCTCCCCTGCACCTTCTTTTCTCTGGACTAGCCAAACCCAATTCCTGCAACTGTTCTTCATATATTTTAGCCTCCAGCTTCCTAATTTTATCCATATGTTTTTAAAATCCACTGTTGTGGGGAAAACAGGGAGAAACAAATAGGGAAATTGAAGATAAACCTGTTCTCATCACTGGACTGTCTGTCTCCTCCTCCCCTCCCCCCCCCAGGCCCTGATCAACATGGCAATGTTGGTTAAAGAGACAGAGCTGAGAGGCAGCCCCTCTCTGGCCATGATCCTGGTTAATGCCTTCCAATTTCTCTACGTGGTAGACGCCCTCTGGCATGAGGTAGGTGAAAGCATGGCCAGCAGGCCAGGCCACGGGGAAGGGTGGGGGGGTCCGAAAATTTTTAACAAGTTCTCCTTGGAACTTGGGAGAAAAACAAAATATTTCCCCATCTTGGAGCCTCCCAAATTATTTGGCGAGCAAATAATTTTAGAGGTGCAAGGCTGGTTGCGCAATCTGGCTTGACTCAGTGCTTTGAGTGATCCATGGCTGTTTGCATAGCTGGATGAAGCTAGAGCAGTCTTTCTCGACCTTGGCCCCTTT